TACATTTTTGGGGGAGCATCAGCTCCACACTATGGGTATTTCTGTTTTGTTTGCTGCCATGTTCCAGGCGCCTGGCATGCGGTGGGCACTCAATCGGTGGGCATCGGATGAATGACCCTTGTCCCAAGCCTGGCTCAGAAAGAGGCAGGAGCAGACTCCAGCCCATGTGAAACAGCCCTGGGGTGCTGTCCTAGCTTTTCACATCTTGGTCAGGTTAGTTCATAGCCTCACATGGCTCTCCTAAGGGTTACATGATAACGTGAGTGAAGCCTCGGCATAGCTCCCGACACTGTAGGTGTGGCAGCCAGGTTTCCTCTGGGCTAACTTCCCCCAGCTCTTTTTACCCTCCCTGCCTCCCAATAGTGTCAGGGTGGTGGTGTGCCAGAGGGTCTGCTGCATCTCAGCACCATTCCCTCCCTTTCCTGTGCCCTCCTGAGCCGCAGGGGCTGGATGCCTGCAAACCACCTTTCCCAACTTGTTGCCAGCAGCTTCCAACCAGCTCTGACCCAGGATGGACCACTGGGACCTACAGGAGCGGCAGCAGCCAGATCCCTGAGCCCCTGCAGGGACCACCTGGACCCTTGCCCTGCCAGGGCGTTTGTGATCTGGCGCTCTTCACTTAATGCCTTCCTCCTGGAAACAGCTAGACTGGAATGCTTTCCTGATGAGACAGTGAAGGCTGCCGAGTTTTTCCCGAGGGCACCATGTGGTGGTCTCCACGTGGCGGGGCCTGAGTGTGCACCTGGGAGCTGGTAGGACACACCTTGTCTCCCCCTCACCTCGGCTATCCTGGGTGGGCTTTACCACTCAGGAGAGACTGGTCCTTTCCACCACCACCTGCTCCTCCCACTCCCCAGGGCAGCCCCTCTCTGTTTGGACTGCACCTTTATCCTATTTTACAGGGGAGGAGACTGAGACACAGGCTACTAAGTTGTTTCTGTGGCTAAAAAGCAACTGCTGTGGCCCCAGAGGCTGTACTCCATGCTCCCTCTTCTAGACATCTGGCCAGCAGCTTGAGCTGCACATGAGACTTCGGGGCCCTTGAGGGGGGCAGTGGAGAGAGATAGATGATGAGCTGGTGCTCAGGACATGCTCGAGGATCCACCAAGGTCCAGCCTCTTCTTATCATCACATCCAGTTCCCCGCAAGCGCGTCGCCCACTGCAGCTAGAGTGGAAGAGATTTCTCACTCCTCTCCACCGGGTGGATGGAGGACTGGGCATGGAGTCGGTGGAAAATACGGCCCAGATCCCAGCTCTCTTAACTGCCTGTGAGTCCCAGGCAAATCCTGTGCCCTCTGCGGGCCTCAGCTCCCAATTATAAGCACAGTGGGTGGGCTGGGGGTTCTTCCACCACTAACATTCTAGAATCTCACTTTGAAGACAGCATAAAAACCAAGATCTTTGGTCAGGGTAGAGGGTGGACCACACAACGTTTTACCAAACCAGGCCAGGCATGCCATGCCACAGGCTGTGTGTGACAGAGACCCAGAATGCCTAAGCCCAGTGCACACAGGGGAGCTGTCATAGGATGCATCTGATAGCCGGCAAAGTGGACCACCAGGCTGCAGGGGCTCCAGTGCTGCCCGCTAAGCCAGGGCTGCCCCTTCTCGCAGCTCTCATGGGAGCCAGGCTGGTTCTCCCCTCCTGATGACCTGACTCACTGGTGGCCGCTCTGTGCCAGGTGCTAGGCTGGGCACTGAGGCCATGGGGTGAATCAGACAAGCATGTCCTCAGGGAGCTCCCAGGCTAGCACACGCAGTCACCAATCATTCTGCCCTTCCTCCGAGGCCCGGCAGGAATAAGCCCCTCTTTTTGGAGCCTGCCCCAGCTTCCCCAGCTGCCATACCTCAGCTCTGACTTCTAATGTCCTGCCGGCATGGCGCAAGTCCAGGCCCATGCCCGGGAGCTTTCCAGGGCACCATGAACTATAACCCCTGAACTGCAAGGGGGTCAAAGGCAGCTGTGCCTCAGCCACCCTAAGTCAGGCCATGCTGGGGCTCAGCAGGTAGTCAGAATTGCTGTCTGGCAACAAGGACTCATGACACAGCTCACATCTGTCCCAGCCACAAACGCACCATCTGATCCATACCTCTGTGCTGCACACTTGGCTACGGTTACTCTGGGCTGGGTTCAGAAGTTCCTAAGCAAGGTCATCTTGACTTGCCAATGCCCCAAGTGACCTGCAGAGGCAGGGCCACCCAGCATGGTGGAAAACACACAGGCTCTGAGTCCCAGGCCTGCCTTCTGGTAGCTATGTGAGGCTGGCTAATTATGTAACCTCCACAGGCCTCAGTGTCGTCATCTTTAAAATGGGCTAACAATACCTACGAGCACAGGCATTGAGCAGCAGCTTAAACTAGCTGGTATATGTGGGATGCTGCCCCCTACTTCCTGCCCCTCCAAGGCTGGCATTCACCTCCCAGAGGAAGCCTTCCTTCTCTGAGGGGCACCAACGCTCACTGTGGGCCCCACTGGCAGGCTGAGCAATACCACTCAGGACAAAACAAGGTCTCAATGCAATGAGACACAGCCCTGTGAAGTTCTAAACTAGGCATGTCCAGAGAAGTGGCCCCAAAGGTCAGCCCCTGGGGAAGAGGTGGGGAGGATCTGCTCTGGCATCTAGAAGTCAGCCTCTGCCAGTGGAGACTCCCACTGGCCAGCAACTTCCAATGTCTTCTGTAGTAGCTGGGGGCACGGGCGAGGCAGAGCAGGACACAGCAGCTTGGCTGGGATTTGCCTCGATCTACACAGAGGGGCACAGTGCAGCGGAAATCTGGAGCTCTGGGGTCAGAGAACAGGGTTCAAATCCCAGATCCCCCTCTGAGTGGATGAGAGGCTTTGGTCAACTTGTTGATCTTCCTTCACCCTCAGCTGCCTCATCAGGAAAACAGGACTAGAACCACCTCCCTGGCAGCATGTGAGGTTGAGGACTAGTATCACCAGTGGCAGGTGCAAAGACCTAACAGGGCCAACGGTTACTTTTTTTTTTTTTTTTTTTTTTGATGGAGCCTCTCTTTGTCACCACGCTGGAGTGCAATGGTGTGATCTTGGCTCACTGCAACCTCTGCCTCCTGGGTTCAAGCGGTTCTCCTGTCTCAGCCTCCCGAGTAGCTGGGACTACAGGCACGTGGCACCATGCCCAGCTAATAATTTTTCTATTTTTATTAAAGACGGGGTTTCACCATGTTGGTCAGGCTGGTCTCAATCTCTTGACCTTGTGACCTGCCTGCCTCGGCCTCCCAACGTGCTGGGACTATAGGCATGGGCCACTACGTCTGGCCAGGTTACTTAATATACAGATGGGCACCTGTTCCAACCCATACCTGGGAATGGTTGGGGGAGGAGGCCAGGAGAAAACCAGGCCCCAAGCCAGCACCCCAGATGTGGAATCTGCCCTGATTCCCTAGCCAGGCTTGTTGAAAAGTCCCCAGAGATTTACATGGGATGAGATCTCTTCCTGGGAGAGAAGACCCCAACATGCACCCAGTGAAGCTGAAGGTCACGTCAAGTCTGAAAGGCAACTTTGTTCTTCCTGGCTTCATCCCTTATGCATGAAAGAGCAGACAGCGGGTGCTCAGGATTAATAATTCGAGACATCCAGAGACTAAAGACATTGGCCAAATTTAAAACAAAAGATGAACTTGTTGGGTGTCTTTTCAGATTATGGAGAAAAGAAGAAAGGAGAGAATCTCTTAGTCATTCACAATCCACTCAGAATTCACAGGGAGTCAGCCTGATGCTGAGATAAAGGCTCTGCCTCTGGGTTCTGGACACTTAAGATACCACCATTTAAAAGGGATAAAGAGATACATGCCCAAGGGGACCCCCACAAGCTGCAGCTGAGGGGCAGAAGCCTGGGGAGTCCCCAGAGAGTAGCTGAAAGAACCTGAAGACCGTTCTGTGAAGGTCACCGCGCAGGTCAACAGGAGTCCTAGGGCAGCATGGCCAGACTGGGCTCCTGGGAAGCCAGGACATGGTGGGGTGAGGGCCACACAGGTTGAAGGCTTGGCTGTGGCCCTGCCCAGCACTGAAGCACAGGGGCCTTCCTCTCCCAGCCCTGGTGTCCTCAGCAGTAATGGGAGCTAATGCCATCTAATGACTTCTGGGGCTCAACACGACTGTTTCAGTATGGCACAGAGCTTAGCATAGCCCTTGGCACGCAGTAAGAGCTCAGTTAACACTGGTTGCTAACAATTTCTTTTCCTTCTTAAAAGTATTTTTTGCCTTTGGCTCTGAGATAACCCCTGAGTGCACAAGTGTTCTGCCAACAATGTGATGATGGTCACCACTGAGTCACACAAAACCGAGGTGGTAAAAAGGGGGGAGGTCATTGCACCCTTTTCACAGATGGGAAAACCAAGGCTCAAGAGGTGACTGATCCAGTGTCACAGCCTCCAAGTGGCAGAGCTAGGGCTAGACCTTGGGTCTCCCAAGTCACTGAAATACTTCGCACCACCCCCAACACACTGAAACCACACACCCTGAGTCTATCTGGGCCATGCCTGCACCGATGTCCCCAGTACCATGACCCAGGCCCAGCCCACGTTCAGCCTGGGGCAAGCCTATGGAATGAAGATGTGCTGCAGATCCAAAAAGTGATGGAAATAATGGAGATTCTGCCTGGGGAAAACGCCCACGTAGACCACGTACACAACCCCATGCGCACCACAGGGGACTCACAGCCCCAGGCCAGGCCCCTGCCCAGGCTCAGAAGGTTCAGCCGAGAGACCAGATTCCTGGTGTGGCCTCTGTGAGTCATCCAGAGGTGACCTCATCACACACACACCCAGTCGCTGGGTGAAAAGGAGGCCCACTGGGCCTTCAACCCCGGGAACCTAAGGACCATCACCCCTACCCTGCTCTCAGTAGGGTACCCTGCCCCGCTGCCCCTGGGCATGTGGCCCCACCCAGTCTGTGGTCACTGCTGCTCCCATCCCTAAAGGTCAGGAGCCGTTGGACGCTGCCAACTGTCTGCTCCATCTGATGAGTGCAGCTTCAATGAGTTTCAAAAAGAGAACATTTATTGTTTGTTTTTTCCTCATTAAACTTTCACAAATAAAGCACAGCAAGAGTTATCTACAGACACACAGGAGGCACACAGCCAGTCAGTCAACCAGAAATGGAGGCAAAGGCCAGTGTGGCTCTCACAGAGTAGCGCCTCTCAGGACCCCTGGCCAGCCTCATGCCAAGGCAGGCCCATGTCAGGCCTCGCCCATGTCACCTTCTGACAAACACAGAGGCTGATGCCAAGGAGGTGGCTAGAGTTGGGCTAAGGAAGTTACCCTCAGATTCTGATAAAGACCCTACGAATCCCACCCCACCCTCAGGCACCTCCGTCTCGTGTCTGATTCCAATGCTTAGTTAAATAAGGAAGTTCTAAGGGAGGCTGTGTATTCCCTGGGGCTAATGAAACTTGCTCCAACACGCTGGCCACTGGGAGGCACCTGGGATGGAAAAGATGCTCCAGGCTTTCCTGGCTTTCAGGATGTGGGAGCCCCACGGGGGCAGAAGGGGAGGAAGGAAAGAGATTCTAAAGACAGACTGCTGCTGGTATGTCCCGACCCAGGGTCACAGTGTCAGGAAAGAAAACAGCGTGATTCTGACAAAGTTGGATTTTGTTTCACCCTCGGAATTAGCACACTTCAAACACTTGTATTTTCACGGAAATCAACAAGAGAGACAGCTAGCAGGACACGAGGCTTCTGCCAGTTCTGTGTGGAAAGGCACCAGATGGTTGTTATGAAACACATTTTGGTCAGAAAATAGCTGGGGTTTTTTGGTTCCTGGGAGGACAACAAAGCTAGAAGAAAAGGAGATGTGAGTTGTGTGAGGCGGAGGCAGAGAAGAAAGCAGCTTTGGTATCAGACCTGGGTTCTACTCTTCACTCTACCCCTTCCACGCTTGAGGCCTCAATTTTCTCATCCGTAAAGTGGTCACAAAATATTTCCAAATAAATTGAGGTGTCAGGTTTCACACATCATCCCAGGAAGTACGGAGAGGCGGGGCGCAGAGATACTCACACAGACAGCAGAAGAGGGGCACAGCCTTGCATGGAGGGGGAGAAGGCAGGGAGGGGCCGGCCCTTGATGATCCCCCCTACCCTCCTCAGTCCCTGGGAGCAGAGAGCAGCCAGTTACACTGGTTCCATCACAGGTGGAGATCATCCCTGGGGGCTTAGGCCCCTTCTCCTGGAGGAAGGGCAGAAGGAAAGCTCCATTCAATGCAGCACCATGGAGGAGCCCTTAGGGCCACACATGCTGTGAATGCTTTAAAGTGCCAAGCTGTACTGTCTTTGGTCAGGAGCTGTACCTCAGTCTCTAAGAGTCTGGGGTCCAGGGCTCAAGCCCCGCCTGCTGGGCCCTGAGGAAGGAGAACAAGAGAACACAGTCCTCTCCTGAGGCTGTGGGTGCTCTCCTGTGCTTGGGGGAAAAAAATCACTGAAATCCGAAGCAGGATGCCCCAGGGAAAATCGGGTCCTTAGAAAGAGAGAAGGGGCTAGGAATGCTTTGGTCACAGTCCTGACACCCGCGGCCAGGGCAGAGCTTGCTCCAGGAGCCGATTACAGCACTGCACACGTCACGCAGCAGGAGACGTGCCTGACACAGACTGGCTTCCGAGCATCAGCCAGAAGTCACTGAATAAATATTCAAGGCATCTTTCGGTTCTCAGAGAAAGAGCAGGGCTTAAAAAAAATCTCTCCCCTGCCTGACTGGCTACAGCTCTGATCTTCAGGCTGACAGTGCTGAGGGCTGGGAGAGGTGGCGGGCGGGTCTCGGAGCCAGCTCCCCCGCAGCAGGTGGCTTTGGTCCGTCACGTGTCAGGGCCGCTTGTGTCCGGCAGGCCCCGGGCCCTCAGAAGCTGAAGAGGTCATCCTGCTCGGTGCCGCTGCTGTCAGGCTTGTCCCAGTCGACAGGTGAGAGGCACTGGGCGTAATGGATGTCCTGGGCTGTCAGGCCAGTGTCCAGGACCTGAGGGTTCGTCCGAGACTGGGCAAGCCTGGAAGGCAGAGCTGGGTGAGCCGACAGCCTGGGCAAGGGGTGGAGAGTCCCAGGAGCCTGCCCAGCCTGGCCGGCTCCAGGGTCAGATGCAAGAGGGCATGAGTAGGGAACCGCAGGGCACGGGGCCCAAGAAGCAGGAGAGGCGGAGGAGCCTCAGATCAAAGCACCGCCCCTTGAGAGTCAAGCAGGTCAGAAAAGTGAAGGGCAGCCAGCATTGCACTGACCCCCGTGAGAGGCCACAGCACCCACAGTATGCCCCAGCTCAGGTCATGCCCAGGAAAGAGGAGAAGGGGCAGTGCTGGTAAAGGGAGTGGCGGGGCAGTGGGGGGCCAAGCCATGGGAGGGAATGGAAGATTCTTTGGCTGTAACTGTGTCAACACCATGCTGTTCAAAAAATAAATTTACAAAGGGAGACAACCTACATGTCCAAAAGAACAGGGGAGAGTCAAGTAAATTATAGGGGCCTGCCTTAAGAGAATGTTAGGCAGTCAGTGGAAGAGGTGTTTACGAGGAGGTTTTAACAGCCTAGAGCAGTGCTTCTGACACGTGGCTGTTAAGTGAAAAATCAGGATCCCAAAATGCAAATACGATGAGCAGATCAATGCAAAATAATGTATATGTATAGGATTAGCATGAATTAAGCCCAGAACTCTGGGCTATGGGATTATGGGATGGTGTTACTTTCTGTTCAATGCTCTGCTGATTTTCAAAATTGTTTAATAAAGAGCACACGATGCTCAAGATACTGAGGAAAAAAGCAAAGGAAAGATTTTTTTCAGACAGGGGTTGTAGTCAGCCAGTGAGGCAGGGAAGGTGCCACCCTCGCCCTGGGCTGGACCAAGGGGTTTCCAACAGTCCCTGGCAAAAAGGAGGTGAGGAGGAGGAAGGAGGAGAAAGGGCAAAGACCCTGACTCCCTCCACCCACTGGACCAAAAATTGCTGACCCCAACCCCAAACAACGCCCCTGGTGTGGGAAGGCTGCAGGAGGCTGCGGAGGGTCTCAGAGAAAGTGAGGCCTGAGGACTGGGGCCCACGGCTCGGAACCCTGAGCTGCCCAGGCCTCTCTTCAGCCACAGCCTTCTTAGTGGCATGTCCCCAAGCTGAAGGGGGCCACAGGATGGCCCCCAGGAAAACAGGGAAATGTCACCACCCTCAGGCTTTACCAAAACACTCCTCACTGCGCCTGACCCTCCCTGCTGTGGAACACTCCAGGGGCTTCATGAAGCACATTCTCCCTTCCCCCTTTCATACATGCAGTCCTCTGGAGGGAGCAACTCCTGCAAAAGCAGCCCATCTTTGAAGGCTACGCCAGGCAGAAGAAATCAACTTGAGCTGCAGTGTGTTCCACTCAGCTCAGACTGCAGCAGAGCAGCCACCAGGAACAGTTTCTGACTCAACTGTAAGAACTTTCTAACAACTCTGGCCAACACTGGAAGGGGTTTCCTTCCCAGACAGTGAGCTCCCTGCCCCTGGAGGCACTGGGGTGATGGAATGGGGACTGCTGCTCTGGAAGAGGTCTGAGTGGCTGTGTTCTCAGGCAGGGCGGAGGGAAGGGTAGCAGGACCTGCCCACACATACCAGGTCCCCCACCCAGCACAGGAAGCTCACATTACCTCGAAAACGCTTCATCCAGGCCATCATCCAGCTCCTTGGGGAAAACAAATCAGGAGATAAGAACTCTGAGTAGGGGAGCCCACATTCACAGCCGGGACTTATCCCAGCCCTGAGTATAAGCTACAGGGACTCAGGACACAAGCTCAGGTGGGCGCCTGGAGGCACAGGCTCAGACAGGCCTCCTGCCTGGGTGCATTGTCAGCATCTCAGCCCAAGGACCCAAAGCTGGAAATGTGGGAGAGGAGAAAGGAGAAAGGGTACATCCTAGGGCGTCTGGAGATCCAGGTGGGTTCAATGCCCTGCTCCACCACTACCTGCCCTGAGACCTTGAGCAAGTCACTGCTCCTCTTTGAAACTCAGCTTGGGGTAGTACATGGGGCGGGGGAAGAAACTCAGCTTGTCCTTCCGTAAGAGGAGAGAGCTGGACCTGATGACTCCCATGGCTTTCAAATTCCAAAAGGAAGAGGGTGGGGAAGGAGGTTTTCTTGCCTTCACTTACTTCCAAAAGCCAAGCCAAAATTCCAAGCTCATGAGGGATAAGTGATGGCAGGAATCCCACAGTCTCAGTGGAAAAGCGATGGGTGAGGTCCCACCCTGGCCTCCTGGTGAGGATGGGCAAGTGGCAAGGGTGGTTCCCGAACAGCAGAGAACAGGCTCGAGGGACACCTGGGGATCCCCCACTAGCCAGATTTTTAAAAATTAAAGAGATGACAAGTTAACGTGACTCTGCAACGGATCCTGGGCCAGAAACCGGACACTGGAGGGACCCCTGGAGAAATGTGTAAGTTCATAGATAATACAATGGCATGGTATCATGTTTGTTTCCTGATTCTGACCACTGTAATGTGGTTTGCAAGATGTTAACAACTGGGGAAACTGGATGAAGAATGAACAGGAATTCTTTGTACTACTGTTGTAACACAGTCTGAAATTATTTCCAAATGAAAAATCAAAATTAAATGTTGGGTTCCTCGGGGAGATTCTGTTGGCTGAGGTCATCACCCTCACTGAAATGAAAAAGGTGAGACAGAGAGGTCAGGGGGCTTGCCCTGAGTCCCTGAGGGGGTCAGGGACCAAGCTGGTGACTGCCCAAGTCTCTGGCTCCTCATTCAGACGGCTGAGGGGGAGGAGTGTCAGGAGCGGGTTCTGCAATACCAGGAACAAGGGCGCCTTTGGCTGGTCTTGTGGTGGGCAGAGCCGTGGATGCTCAGGCCAAGAGGCTAGGCATTGTGAGGAGACAGCTGTGCTGGGAGCCAAGCCTATTGGGGACACAGCCTCAGGTTCAAAAGGGACATTGTTCATCCCCCATCCTGGGCCTGGGCACTGCCGGGCTGCGTCTGGTCCTCCCAGAGGCCCACAAGTCATGGGTGCCAGGGCCTGGAGCAGCCTCAGGCTTGCCCAGAGGTCAGGCTGAGGATTACTGATCTGCTGGCCACAAAATCACTCACCCAGACAACACTGCTGCCACTCAAGGTTTGCAGCCGTGGCGCCTCGTCCATGTTGCTGGTGTTGGCGCTGACTGTGGACAGTGGGGCCTTAGCCGTCTCCTCTAAATCCAGCAGGTTCCCAGTGGCGACCGCTGTGAGGGATCCGGTCAGGTGTGTCAGTGGGAGATCAGCTCTTCCTTCCTGGCCCTTCCTGGGCTATACTGGCCCTGACCCTCCCCTAGGATGTGGCCTTGCCCAGGCCTCCCAGCAGAGCCTGGCCCTGGCACCTCCCCACAGCAGCTGCACAACTGCCCACAGAGTGAGAACCTGCCCTCAACTAATGGCTTAGACTGAAACTTTTGTATTCACAATAGTTAAGTTTTCTTAAGTGACCACACAATAGTATGTTAAAAATATAGAAAGGCAGACATATATTTATATATTTGCATAGGAACATATCTAGAAGAAAATGCACCAAAATAAATGATTTCTTCCCCTTATCTACATTTTCTAATTGACCTGTAATGAATGTGTATTATTTATTTAACAAAACAAAAGTGAAAACCCAAGAGGCTGTCCCAGCCCAGGCAGGAGCAGAACCCCCTGGGTGACACACAGACCCAACACCCCCTTTCCCCATCAGGACTCACAGCTCTTCAAGGGGGCGGTGCAGTCTCGGCGGGCTGCCAGGATGTCCCCTCCCTCTTGGCCGGCTTTGTCCCTCTTCTCTTTCTCTGCAGGACCAAGGCATAACACGTTGGAGTCTGAGACCCCAGCACTCCGTCCCCAGCAATCACTGGGCTGGGGGTGATTAGCTGTGGCCAGTCTCAGGGGGCAGTTTTAGGTTTCCAGCCGGAAGGAAAGAAACCTTTCAGATGTCAGTTAATCCTCACAAGGATCTTGGGTAGGGAGATGGCTGTTCCCATTTTTCAGATGGGAAAACCGAGACTCGGAACGGTGAAGGGACCTGCTCACAATCACAAGCCAGGTGGGTGATGAGGCTGGAAGTCAGTCCAGACCTGACCTCAGGGCTTTTATCTGCCTCCCCACCTCCCACCACACCCACAAGGTAGATGCAAAGTCTCACCTTCTTTGGACACCTGCCAAAACTCAAAGGCGACTTTGAAGGCTTGGGCTACGGTGAGGGTGACAGCCTGTGCCTGAAAACAGGAAGTGGGGGTGGGGAGGGTGCAGCGTCAGCCAGGGCAGAGCAAGTCTGCACTGGAGGGCCAGGGACCCCAGGCCTGGCCCCCTGGCTCCCTCTCTGCAGCTTCTGCAGCTCCATCCCAGGTCTGGAATGCCTGCTGGGCAGAGCAGGGTCCTGGCTCTTCCCAGAGCTCCAAAGCAACCTGGGGTGTAATAAGCCCACATACACGCAAAGGCAGGGGGAGCCCCATCTTCACCATCTCTGGCCCCACCAAAGTTCTCACCCTCACTCTAGGGCCCCTGCCTGCAAAGGCTGTTCACCTCTCCTTTTTTTCCTTCCCCTTTGGGCTTCCCTAAATTCAATGAACTGTGAGGCTTACTTCCTCCAAGAAGCCCTCCCTAATTACCTGTGGACTTAGCCCTTGGAATTGGAGAACAGAAAAGTCAGAATTGGAAGGGCCCAGCCATTGCCCCAGATAAGCCACAGCCAGACAGGTAAAAGTTAGGTTCCAGTTGCAACTAGGCTGGGGTTTATAACTGGATCCCACGAAGAGAATAGAAGGCTTGTCAATTTCTAGACAGGAGCAAGATGTCAATGAATGCTCGGACACCAAAACTATTTAGTGCTATAACCCACCAGTAAGGAAGGGCCACACCTTGGCCCTTCACCCCAGGGGAACTCCCACCCACCCCTTCAAACCCAACTCAGATGTCACCACCTCTCCTGTGACCAGCCCCAGACTCCTCTAGCCCCACCCACCTCCCTCTAGCACCATGTATATGAAAGTGTCACTGGCTCCCATGCCTGTGTTCCCCCCAGCTATGTGCACCCTAAAAGCAAGAATCAGTCTGAACATCCCTGCACAAAGCCTCCCAGAGGTGGCAGCAATGCTGGGTGAATGACACTTGTCTGAGGGGCAGGCCTCATTCCAGCCAGGACCTATCCCCAGCCCATATTCATCTCAACATCTTTCTCTCTCAGCCATTCCTGTCCAGGGTTAATCAGCTCGGCTTCTGGGAGTGGAAGTCCCAGAGTTCGTAGCTATAGCCGGAAACATCTAGCTTCCTTCTGAAGACCTGGCTAAGAGAAGAAAGCACCAGCCTCTTTCGAGAGCACAAGAAGTTCAGGCCTCACCAGCCTCAGCCCCGATCACTTCCCTCTCCCAGACAACTCAATTTAATTAAGAAATGAACCTGTGACCACTGCCTTTAAAACTCCTTTTAAAAAAAATATTTAAAATTCCTAAACAAGCTGACTGATCCGTGCCAATTAAACGTCACAAAGTATAAAACCTCATTTGAATGTCTCCATCATTTACATTTCTGATGGAAGTACAGGCACTTTATGACAAAACTTAAATATGGTAATTAAGTATGAAACTCTTCGCAGCTGTTTACAATTTAAGCTGTCATGTCTGAATCAAGTTTAATAGACCCAGTTACCATTGAGAATTGCCCATGAACTAAAAATATGGGCTAATTACCAGCCCAAGTCAGATCACTATCCACCCAAGCAAGGGCTGGTCACTCAATGCGGCAGGGATATGAAAACGCCATTATTTAAGGCTGCTGGAAATCTGGGGACACAAGCTTAGACTGCCTTTGCATAAATCTGCTTGTTCATTTGCATACATTCCTACCCTTTTGCCCCAAAGTCCCAAGCTGTAAGTTAAACTGAATACAACCTAAGATGTGGATGTGTGTGCAGGTGGCTGCAAGCCCAGGCTGGACAGGGACTGGGAGAGGGGTGGGGCCCTGCTTCCTGGGGCGGCTGCAGGAATCCGAGCACCAGCATTGGGTGGAGGGACTGCTTGGGCCTGCCCAGGTGGGGTGCCCGCCCTCCTGACTGCTCTGGCCTGCGGGTCTGCCTTATTATCCTGACTAGATGCTACCTTGTCCAGTTTTTCATGTTCCTTGTTCCCAGGAACCGGGCTGCTCATGGCTCAAAAGGGGCCAGAAACTCAGACCAAGACAGTCACGTGCCCCCCAACAGCCCTGCTGCCCCAGAAGCATAACCTTGCATAAGGATCACTCCAGGATGCCGATGGTTGTGGGAGAGAGAGCAGCCCGGCCCTGCGCTGCTGGGTGAAACTGGGGGTAGCACTTTGCTTATCATCAGCCCAGGCCCGGCACCTGCACGGCGACCCTGAGCTCCTCCACCTTCGATTTGGAGCCCAGAGGCCTCCTGGTTGGGCAGATGGAAGAGATTCCTTGTAGAAACCCTATCCTGGCTGTGCCCAGCAGGACCAGGGAGGGGAGACTCGGGGTGGCTGTACTGCCCCAGAGTTGAGCTAACTGGTGGGTGATGTAGAAAGGAGCCCTTCTCCTCTAACTTGAACGGGTCATGAACTCATTCAGGCAGCCAGGCCAGGAAGAATAGGGATGTGGGGGCCCCCAGCCACAATGAGTGAGGTTTTGTCAACATCCTGACTCAAGGCCCTCAACAGCCCGATTCAAGGCTGGCTGCAAACAGAAGCCGCCTCACCACCCACCGCAGGGGAACCATTTCATTTTGTGCCCGCACGTATGTTAATCCTGTGCTGGTGTGCACTCCCCGCCCACCACCCGCCTCCTTCTCTCGGCCTGGCAAACTCCTCCTGCCTCCTCAGCCTTCAAAGCCCCATTCAAGGTGTCTCTGTCTCAGGGAAGTCACACTGACCCTCCAGTGAGATTTACTAATTTATACCCCAGAACCAAGCCCCCTGGGTTCCAGGTACTGAATCCGGGCTGTTCGCTACCGCCTTGGATGTTTTCTTTATGGCTCAGGCCAGGATAAATGGTGCCCAACATCTGTGGCAGAGCTGCCAGCAGGTCCAGAGGCTGAGGCAGCCATTCTATCTCCTGTCTCCCCCAAGAACATTTCCACTCAGCTCGAGAATCTAGGATTCCAACATGATGAGGCCATCAACACACTCTCAGCCCGGGTTGGGCTAAGACCCTGAGGCAGCAGGTGATGTATTTACACCGTGCTGGGCTGGGCTGCCTTGGCGAGGACTCTTAAGGGCCTATTGAAGCAGGGAGGCCAGGTAGCAAAGGGTCAGCCATCAACCCAACCACAGAGAAGAACACACTAAGAAAGATGAAGAGTTTGGGTGTCTGGCAGGGCCTCTTGTCGCTGCCAGGTCTGGCTCTGTTTTCCTTGGTAGCTGACCTCATGGCCTGAGGGTAGGCTGATTTCGCTCAAGTCTGTCTGCAGTCCTCTGGCCACAAGCCAGGTCTCCCTTGTCACAGCTGGGCTGGGACCGCACCTCTCTCTTATTCCCAGACCCCCCATCCCAGAGGAAGCCTCTGCACCTTGGAAGGGCCCTCCCACCCAGGGCCAGCTGTCCCTGCCCAGGGTCTTCCCTGGTCAGCAGGGAGAAAGACATGAACAATGGGGATATAATGAGCTGTGTTTTCAAGTCTGTGTGGCCTCCTAAAAGACAAAGCCACGAGTCACATCTGTGGGAACTCACAGGAGATGCCACTTGAAGCCCTGGGACCTCACGAGGCCCTGGGCAAGTGGCTGGCGACACTGAGTCTGCAGGAAAGAAACAAAGTGTTCAAAAGAACCTGGGGCCTTTCAGAACAACCCTGGAGGTCACGGAGGCAACCTCATTCTGCTGAGAGGCAAACAGCCCAGAGAAGGCCAAGATCTTCTCCAAGGCAACACAACACATCAGCCAGGATCAGACCACTGGACTGTCTCCTCCTCAGTGCCTCTTCCATGACACCTGTGGTGGGCTGAATCGTGTGTCTGCTCCCAAGATGTCCACATCCTAATCCCTGAGACCTGTGAGTGATGCCTTGCACAGCACACAGCAAGCAGGCTTTGCACAGTGAGTGAGGTAAGGATCTGGCAATGGGGATTATCCCAGATTACTCAGTGTATCCAAATGTCATCACAAGGAGCGCTGAGGCGGGTAGGAGAGTCAGAGTTTAAAATAGCAATGTGACGACGAAAGCAGGAGACTAGAAGACGCTACATTGCTGGCTCGGAAGATGAGGACAGGCCCATGAACCCAGAAATGCAGGTAGTTGGTCTCCAGGAGGTAGAAAAGGTAAGGAAATGGATTCTCCTCTAGAGCCTCCAGAAAAAAACACAATCCTGCCGACCTAGTTTAGACTCCTGACCTACCTCTGTCACACAATACATTTTTCTTCTCCATAAGAGAATAAATTTGTGTCGTTTTAAGCCATTAGGTTTGCAATCATTTGTTACAACAGCAAGAGAAAACTTACATATAATCTGAAGTGTGCCCTGATGCACAGCAGGAAGCGTGGGGGCCACAAAGACTATGATGTACCTGACACATCCTTTGATGACAGGGGAGGGAAGGGGATCTTGTCTCCTAGGTTCCAAGGGCTATAGGGCTTGGGGACTAGGGATCTCAGCTGTTAACAGAGGTAAACAGGTGCCAGTACTAAATCAATGGATGTCAGGAACCACCTTCTAGGGAGAATGCTCAGATCCTGGGGGTCTCAGAAACAAAAGCTGCAGTGCCAAAGGTTGACCCACTCCACTCCTTGCCCCCAAATACAGGACAAATGCCCAATGACCACCAAGGTTCCCACTCATCCCAGCTAGATGTGATCAGGGAGGTGTCCTGGAAATGAGACCAAGAACTCTGAGCTCCCCAGTCACACAGGGAGGGGAAGGAACGTGGGTTTAAACACTCACTCTACCCCTGGCTAGCTGGGTTATCCTAAGCAAGACAGCTGGCCTCTGACAGTCTGTTTCCTCATTAAACATTAAAAAGAAGAAGAAAAAAAAAACAATGGAGAGAGTAACAGTTCCCACCTTGCAGAGCTGTGAGGACTGAAGAAAAGACCTGGAAGCCTAGCACTGGAATGGACACACAGGCGGCACCGAGAGACAGCCACTGCCCTCCACACTCCAGTCACAGCAAGCCTGGTCCCCTGAGGGCCCTTGCCACCCCAGATCCCCAATCTCCCATGTCCAAGGACCAATCCCTACAAGGCCCTGTACCCACAGACCATATTAAAGACAGGAGATCCAAAACAACCTCAACCCAACAACGTTATAGAGAGAAAGGGGCCCAGGCATGCACTGGGGACACGGGCTAACCACTGCCCACACCAGTCTGACCGGAGGGTTGCCTGCCTGCCTGCAGCCCCACCACTGCACCCCTTAGCTCTTAGCACCCACTTGGGATTCCCACAGATTTCACCCTCTTCTTAAGTGATGGTCACCTTTGGGTCCTGCCCCCCACACCAGACGGCACCCCCAACAAGCAGGTCTGCCAAGGCCACTGGAGCCTGCCCCAGCCCTGGCCCTCCCCACTGACCATCTTCCGCTTGGTGCAGAGGAAGGCGTGGCACTCAAGGCTCTCGTTGTGCTGGCTCTGGGCAATGTATGCAAACACCTTGTCGTGTATCTTGTCTGCTGTGCAATAGGAGATCCTGAAAGGCAAGGGAGAGCTATCACCGGACCTGGCACGGGGGCCTGAGCACATGTGGGATGCCCTGCGGGGCAGCTCCCCTGAACTGCAGAGAACCTGCTGTCCCCACTCCACCAGGGCAGACTCTGGGAATCCAGCCTTGGCCTCTAGGCCGGGCATCTGGGCCATCTGTGCAGGAGGTACACACACCAGGCAGGCAGGAAGGACTGGGGTAAAGACTGGAAGCAGGGCACTTTCCCCTCTCCCTCCCATCCCACACCGAGCCACACCCCAAAAGAGTAATAGCTAAACCCTTACCACATACCAGGCAATGTGCCAAGAGTTTTCTAGATCTCACCTCATGTAATTCTCAAAGCTACCCTCTGAGATGGGTTCTATTACTATCCACACTTTTCAGATGAAAAACCTGAGGCTAAAGACCTGAGCCCACAGAAGTGGTGGCAGAGTTAGGACCTGAGCTCAGAGGCCAAGGTTGCCATGCTGCCTCTGCAGGCTACATGCCAACTGACTGGAAGGGGGAGCAGAAAACAGGACACTGCCCTGCTCACTGATGCCCTTCACCTGGCCTCTCCCATCCCCCCTACCCTCCAATCCATGCCCTTGCCCAGAGGTCAGGTGAGATCCAGGTCCATCTCTCTCAGGGTGACTGGGACCATTTGCAAGTTCTGGAGCTGTGGCCAGGGGTAGAAGAGCTGGAAGTAGGGATGGGGTGTGTGTGTGAAGAGGACCCAACAAGGAGCCCCAGTGGGCCTGGGAGGAGACACACAGCAACTCCCTCTGTATAGAATACCCTCTCTGCCCCCAGTTGCCATCTGTAACCTTGGGGCTACCCAAGCCCTTGGCCTCCCACCCTCCTTCACTTGTCTGGTCCCTTCTCGTTGCCTCCAGTCAGCCTCAGAGTCTCGATCAGGGGAGGGGCTGGCAGCCCAGAGGTGGGACAGGAATGCCATAGACTCACCCCTCAACCATGTGGCCCCAGCTTCAGTCACAGGCATTGACACCCCAGGGGGCAGAGCCTGAAGGTGCCAGGTCCCTGCCTACCTCTTCTCCATCCCAGGGGGTCCACCTTCCTGCTCTAAATGCTACTGGGTCCTTGGTATCAATAAACCAGATCCTGTTATTCTTCAAGCCCCAGCAAGGTGCCACCTCCCCTAGGAAGCCTTCCTGGATTTCTCCAGACAGACCTTTCCTTGCCTTCTTGGAAAATACCATGCTCTATCTCCTGTTTCCTCCCCACTATTCCCAACTAGAGTGGAAGCTCCTTGAGGGCATGAGCAGGATCAGAGTCCTCATCTGGCACAGATGCTGGCAGAATAGGTATTTGAAAATTGTTGACTAAAGGAAGGCAGATACAATCAGGTTGGTGAGAGGAAGACATCAGCCGGGCCCCCACAACACATATCTATCGACCCTACTGGCCTGTGCACCAGCAGGCTGAGCCATCTGCTTGGAGACAAAGCACGAGGATGGAGGGATGCCTGGCAGACGGTAGCCTGCTGGACAGGGCTCCAGCAGGGCATCCTAGTTCCAGTTCAGCCACTACACCTCACTGTGTAGGCTTAGGCAATTCCCTCTCTGGGCCTCAGCTTCTCCATCTGTAAAATGGACCTGAGCTGTCCCTTTCCGTTCTGAAAAGCTACAACAGACCAGCCAAGAGAGAAGTGGGGATAGCCTGAGGCTCCAAGAGCTGACCAGAGGACCGACCAGAAAGACCATCTACACTCTGGCCTTGGACTCTGGCTGGGGCCTCCCCAGAATGCCTGGCCAGATACCTAGAGCCGAGTCACTGCATTCACAGCAGAAAGAAAAGGCAGTGACTCTGCAGTTCTTTGCTCCAAGCCTGACTCAGCAGCATGCTGGGGTTGGGGGAGGGCTGGCTCAGCTGTCTTCTCCAACTGGTGATGATAAAAGCAGCAGCTGCCACTTAACCAAGTGCTCATCGTGAGCCAGGTGCTGTACACTCAGTGCTTTCTAACAATGCTGTGCAGCCGGATCTGTTCCCATCCCCATTTTACGGACGAGGAAACTGAGGCTCCAAGGTCACCCAGGTAGGAAGTGGCAAAGCCCTTTTCTACCCACTGCCCCAAGCAGCAGAATGGATGGGCCAACCCCATGCTGAGCATACCTGTAAATAGACACGTTCTCAATGAGCTGGTTGGTGAGGTTGTCCGTCAGGATAATCCCCCGTGGCGACACCTTCAGAGTCACCTTCTGCAGCTTCTTCCCACTGGCCTTAGCCTTGGAGACAGACAGGAGTCAGAGGAGCCTGCTGGCCTCACTTGAGACCCACCTTTGTGGCCTGCACCTTGCTGCTCCTCAGACCCAGACACGGGGCCCACCTCAGCTTAGGCAACTGGCAGTGGCATGGGGAAGACAACTCGGCCAGTGCTCTCTTGCAACAGAAACAGGAGCAGCATCTGCTGCTCCCTGAGCACCAGCTATCTGTCAGGCACCATGGATCTGTAGTCATCTTCCTTCTCCCCAGGAGGAGATGGACTCAGAGAGGCTAAGGGACTTGCCCAAGGTCACACAGCTAGGAGGGACAGCAGGCTCAGCACCAAGTGAGTTATCACAACCCAGCGGGATGACTCCTGGGGACTCTGTTCCATCCAGCGAGCTGAGGGGTCCGAGGCCACCAAGCGAAGTGGATTTAAAAGCCCCATGCTTGCTCAGAGCTTAGGGAGGGGGCAATCTGCTCTCTGATGGGCTATGCTGTCTCTCAGGCCATTGGGCAGGTAATCAAGGGAAAGCAACCTCCCCACCCTTCCCGGCACTGATAAGTCACCAATGCATAGGTAGGGAGCCTGAGCTGGGGATAGGGAGGCCGGAAGAGGCCATAATGGCTGGAGGGAAGCCACTGACCATGACCTTGCAAGTCCAGTGGTTCCCCTCTGCCAAGGCCCCAAAGCTGGATGGAAGGAGACTCAAGGGCAGGGCCAGGCTCAGACACACTCAATTGGAGAAACAAGCTAGGACGAGGGGCATCCGGGAAGAAGCTGGGCCTTGGTCTCTGGTTCCCCCACCCTTCCTGACTGGAGTGCTCACTGTAGCCACGATCCTCTTGATGGCAGCTGCAGACAGCTCCTCGCCCTTGGGCTGCTCCACCAGCGTCATGCCCAGGTACTTGAGGCTGAACAGCATCCCCTCCAGCAGCGTCTCCCGAGTGTCTGTCCAGTTCTCAGGCAGCTCTGGGGCAGGACAGGGTAGGCTCTCAGACCCTGCAGCTCAGGGCCCACCACCAGCAACAGCTCTCACCAGTCTTCTTTCCCAGGAAACCCCTAGCAGGGGATGGGGGTCTCTCCCACCACTACTGTCACTTTTTTTGGCGGGAACTGAGTTTCACAGTCGCTCAGGCTGGAGTGCAGTGGTGTAATCTCAGCTCACATCAACCTCTGCCTCCCAGGTTTAAGCGATTCTCCAGCCTCCACCTCCCAAATAGATGGTCTCAAATTCCTGACCTCAAGTGATCTGCCCACCTCAGCCTCCCAAAGTGCTGGGACTACAGGTGTGAGCCACCACGCCCAGCCTACTGTCACTCTTTTATGAGGTCCACTCTTTTATCAAACCCATTGACAAACACACGGAGGCCATGGAGGCTAAATCACATAACCAAGTCCACAGAGCCAAGAAGTGCAAGAGCCACGTTTCAAGCCCAATTTTCAAGCCCACAGCCCTAACTCTTTACTTTAATGCTAACACTTGCTGAGGGCAAATCATACCATTTCTAACTGAATCCTTAATGCAATCCTGTGAGGTAGTGGTTATCCCCATTCTACAGATTAGGAGACTGAGGCTCAGGGAGGCAAAGTCATGAGATGAAGACCACATACAATGAGTCAGACTTAAACCCTGAGTGGTTCCCACAGCCACAGCCTGCACTGCTTTGCTCCCTGTGTGCATCTGTAGAGACCAATAGGGGCATGCGGGAGGCCAGGAAGGAGACAGTAGCCCAGGGAGAGCAGGGTAGGGTAAGGGTCAGTGGGGAGAGGGGGAGGTGATTTCCCAAATCTGGGAAGGTTGAAGACCCACTCTGCTTCCCACCCACTGCATGGTCCTGGGGAAGCCCCCTCTCCTCTTTGGGACTAACACTGCCCACCTCTCTGGGCCGTGGCAATGGCGCAGAGCAGGGTCCACATGGAGGGTCCTCTAAAAGCACTAACCACATGAATGTCAGGAAATGAGAGAATGAGCCTGGCTCACTGGGTGGGCAAATGGACCAGGAGAGACATGTGGAAAGAGCGGCCCACGACGTGGGTGAGGGTCCTGCAGAGGCAAATGGGCATGAGGGGAAGTGAGGGCTGCTTTGGCGGTTTCTGACCATTCCCAGCTCCTCTGAAGGAGCTGAGGCCCAGAGGCACCATGTCACTCAGCTGGGAAGCAATGGGGCTAGCACAGGAGGAGAAGTCTCCAGGGATCCTTCCGAGGATAAGTTCACAAGGATGAATGAACACACCGCACTCCCACCTGCCAGGGCCCCTGCCTGTCCCCTATCATCCCCTCACAGATGCTGCACTTGTAGGAGGTGTTTGTTATGACTGCACCGTTTTACAGATGAGAAAGAAAACTGCTCTTTAGCCTCACACACAATCTTGTTAAGGACAGAACAGAATCCAGTCAGGAATCAGGTTCAGGGGCCACCAGAGACGAGGCCAGGGCCAGCTTCCCTAGACCTTCCCCCAGGGAGGGGCTGGGAGATGTCCTGGGCCCTCCCTGCCTCCTCCTGGGGCCTTCCTCCCTGGCTCCGATTGAAAACCCACAGGAAGAAAGTTTAGGTATCCAGGGCAACTGAGGCTCTGGCAGGGCTGTGGGCCCCTACTACAAGGCTCAGTCTGGCTCTGGAGTTCTGGCTCTGTCAAGAGCAAAAGTCTGAGTCCAGGTGGCATCACCAGGTCCCCTACTCATTCTGGATCCCTCCTGGCCCTCTCAGCGCCTCTCCTAGAGCCCTACGCCTCTCCACAGCCAAACGGAGCCTTGTACACCCACATTTCTCTGGATTTGCCTTGAGCAAGCCACTGTCCCTCTCTGAGGCCATTTCTTCATCTGAAAGAGGGTGCAGGTGTCAGGGCTGGGGAGCGTTCTACAGGAACTTACAGGTATACCCAGTTCCCCTCATGCCTTGAGATCAGGTGAGCAGGGACTTACTGACTGGTCGTCCAGAACCCGGCATGCAGCTAGCACTCAATACTCGCTCAAGGAAGAAATGATGAGGACAACTCCAACCCCGGCTCTGGCCCCAGGCCCACTGCCCCCCCAGCCCTAGCCCTCATCCCTGGGCCTCCACCCCAACATAAGGCTGGGCCCCCACTGAGATGACCCCAAAGCCATTGACAGACAAACACAAAATATGACCTCATCCTCTGTCCCATCAACCACAAGCCCATTTGATCCTCCAAAAGAATCTGAAAGTCCCTGAGGTGTCCCCAGTTCTGGGTTGAGTGATGGGGCCCTGGAGCAACTCAGACACAGACACTGCTCTCAAGCTCAGAATAACAGTACCATCATCAGGGAAAAACAGAGCTTTCATTTAACAAATGTGCAATGATAATAAAGCTGTAGCTATTAATATCACCTCACAGCCACCTTGCAAGCAGGCATTCTTTCATTCCCATTTTGCAGAGAGGAAACTGAGGCTCAAAGGACTGACTCTAAAGCCCACATTCCTGACCATGAGACCATACTACCTTAACATGCAGCAAACTACCTTAATTGTAGCAAAGATCAGGTTTTTGGAGCCAGAGGCATTTCCTCTCACCTGGAATTAGGTATTCCTAATATCTAAGGCTTCCCCTCTGTAGGCTAAGATACCCAGACTACCACTTTCAACCTGAGACCCATGTAAGCAAGGACAGAAGTACTACTGTGCCTATGGCCCATGCCCTTAGCAGACATTGATAATCAATTGCAGCTCTACTTCCCTCTGATCGTTTCTCAGCATAAGGCCCCAGGCAGGCAATACTAATTGATCAACGCTTGAACATCTCATTATCCATTCCTACCTCTGGCAAACATTCTCCACTCTCCCTCTCCAACCCCCATTTTCACGTCCCCATTCTCCCATTTCCTCTGGTTCAGCCCTTCCCCGGCCCCTTTCCAAAGCCACTTCCGCTCCCTCCATTCCAAAGAGCCAAAGCCTGCCAAGGTCAGTGGTGATCTCTTTGCTGTCAAAACATTCCCTAGTCCTCCCTGGCCTCTGAAATGTTTGGCATTTTTCTGCATTCCTCCTTGCCTGGCTTGACCCTTCTCCTCCTCTAACTGCGTCCTTACAGACTGGTTGCCACTCATCAGCCTTAGGCCCTCAGCTCAAGCCCCTCAGTTGACAGATGATACAACTGGAAGCTCAGACAGGGATGGGACCTGTGCAATGACACATGGCAAGTCATAGGGACACTCCTCACCCCGACCAGTCCACTATAGGCAAGTTCCACAATGACCAGTGACTGTGAGGGAATTTTAAGTTTCCCCGTCTCTTCTTCCACAATATCCCTTCATACCCGCACCCCCAGAAGCTCTAACCATGCAAAGCTTCTGTATCATAATGTGACATTTACTTTCTAACGTCTGTGCCTTTGCTCAAGTAGTTCCCTCCATCCTAAATGCCCTCCTTTCTTCACTTGCTCAAACCCCACACATCCAGCCTCTTCCAAGAAGCCTCCTTTGAGGCAACATAGCTTCATGGTTAACAGCATGGAACTTAATCCTAAAATATCAGCTCTGATGTTTCATGCCTGAGTGATCTTGAGTGAGTTCATTACCTTCCCTGAGTCTCAGTTTTCTCATCTTTAAAATGGGAGAAACAGGTCTGACTCCTGGGGGCTGTTTTGATCCTTGCATAAGTTTATAGAATGAGATAAAAAAATAAAGTGTCTTTAGCAGAGGGGCAGGCTCATGGTAGGTGGTCAGTACACCTTCCAATAGGGCCTCATCCCTCCTGTGGGCAGGCTGCTAGTGCCTTTCTTGAGTGCAAATCTCTTCTTCCTCCCATAGCCACACCACGCACTGCCCGCACGTGACTTTCCCTAAAAGAACCTGCCATTCATGTCTGCTTCCCCAGGACCTGGCAGGGAGGTGTACTCTGGCACAATGTGGCGTCCAGTCTGGTCCTGTTTCTCCTTTGTCCCCCATGTTCCCAGGCCCCACTGAGATGCCCCTTTCCCTCTAAGAGGCCACTTCCCTCCTGTGGTCTGTGCACACGATTCATCTCTTCACTAGATGTAAGGCCCTAGTGCCCACACCCTTGCCAAGAAACCAGCACCTGGGAGCTCTCAGTCAAGGCTGACTTGTAGGGCTCAGGGCCATACCCGCCCCACTCAGCAGCCACAGCCAGAGGCCTTCTTCCCAGGAGGAGCCCAAGGCTTCAGGAGGTACTCCCAGAGGCCCCCGGTCAAATACAGGCCTGAGTGCACAGCCCTGTTCCGGCCCTAGTTATTTTTGGCCCTGTGGTGGGTAATGACTGCACTATTTTAACGTTGCAATTTTACAGATGACATGCTGCCGGAGTTAGCTGGGGACAGACCATATGCCTGGTCTAAATTACAGCTGTGAATGCACGCTCTTTCCTCATTAAGGCCCCCTCGAGCCACCAAGGAGTCAGAGCTGGGCTGAATGCCCCTGTGCCCCTTCTGCTGCTCCCAGAGACCCAGCCTGGCTGGTGTGTCTGCAACATCAGAGCTGCAGCCAAACCCAGGGGCCAGGGGGAGATTCTGACTGGGGCTCTGCCATCTAGCCTCCTCCAGCCTGGTGGGGAGGTGGCCTCAGAGGCCACAGAGTGACAAATCTCAGAAGGGGGCTCAAGCTCTGCCCTGACCCGCAGTGTGGCTGCTTCTCTGGACTGCAATTCTATCTGACAAATGGGTTCAGCCCCGCAGGAGCAGCATCAGAAGTTTCTGGGTGTGAAAAGTACTAGGAAAATTTCAGAAGTCAAAGCTGTTGAAATTGACATCAAAAGGAAATAATTTTTTTTTTTGAGATGGAGTCTCACTCCATTGCCCAGGCTGGAGTGCAGTGGCACCATCTCAGCTCACTGCAACCTCCACCTCCCAAGCAAGCAATTCTCCTGCCTCAGCCTCCTGAGTAGCTGGGATTACAGGCGCATGCCACCATGCCCAACTAATTTTTTAAAAATTTTTAGTAGAGATGGGGTTTCACCTTATTGGTCAGGCTGGTCTCAAACTCCTGATCTCGTGATCCA